GAAAAAAAAAATAGACACTAATGCTACTCCTTTAGGTCATCAGCTATAGTTGACAAAAATAATGATATTAAGTCATATTGCAGTCCTGCATAAATTATTTTAGGTTATGGCTACATCAGACCATGATTCATCAAATAGATTCCATTTGGCAGAGCATGCATGTACTCAGCTGGATTAACACATGGAGACGTTAAAGCATGGTAACAAAGAAGTACATGTATGCTTTGAGTCATGGGAAAGCACTTGTAGCATGATGAAGGATGCAATCGTACCATGTTTTGACATCCGCCACATGTTATCAGTGTACACACACACACTGACAAATGGAATCTGTTGATTTGCTTTGGGCATTGTTTTTTCTAGCATTTTTCCCATCATGACGTCAACTGTGCATCCACTGTTATGTGTAATAAAATTACCTATAATTGAACTAGGTATTGGTATTTTGAGTAAATTAACTGGTCATGTCTTTAATTTGTTTTTGGGATATGTTGGTGATGATGATTATGTTTCATTTTCCTAGATGTTCTCAATGCACAATACACAGCTGAGAAAATACAAAAGTACAGGCAGGCCATAATCGATGCATGCAATCAAAAGTGCAGGGACGTGGCAAGGAAGGAAGCTGGATCAGCATTGAAATGCACCAATGACACTGACAACAGTCGACAATAAAGGGCCTTTAAAATTTGAAGCCCAAATGTTATTTTAAACAAAACATTTCACATTTCTTGTCTTAAATTCTCAGTGAATTTGTCAATTTTAAACTTTACTCAACAAAAAGAGTGCAGAGCAGTTTTGCAGTGCAGCCACTTGGTTAAGGGCATTTGTTAAGGTTTCAAAACTATAAATGCAACATATAACAAGATATTGCCCAAAGGATAGCTTAGCTTTTCATTCTTGGATTTGGCTGATAGTGGAAAAATGCTTATTATGACCAGCCCATTGCATTTTAAGACATTTGAATATTGTATGTTAGTTTTCAGATTTTAATAATGTGATCAGCATTTCAAATCCATTCAAGAGCTGCTTCACAACTGGAACTGATCGAGTTATATTAGAGAGTTTGATCAATAAAGATAACAGTGTATTAAGGAAACTAAGTGAACTTGTGTGTGACATTAACTGCTTTATCTTGCAACTCTCACTTAAACCACCATGAATACAGGATTTGTTTACGCAATTAAGATTGACCATTGATTGTATTCAATTCTGGACGTAAGATGTGATAATCTATTGTACCTCTTGATAGTTAAATATCAATTAAACTTCTGTCACCTCCCCAGCTTGGATGTTGGCTATCATATATATCATGCAAGATCATCCAAATTAAACTTTCCTGTAAGAACGTCCAAGCAGCTGCAACTTTTGTTTCAGGTTCTCCAAGCTAGATCCTGAAAAGATCTTGCCAAGTTGAGACCACTGAAAGATCTTGCTAAGATCTTACCATGTAAGATAGTAAAAAATCTTGCCAAGATCATTGTAAGATCTTGTCAAGATCTTACCATGATCCTGCATGATTTTACAAAAATTTTGATCAGATCATAACCAAGATCTTGACAAGATCATTAAAAGATCTTGTCAAGATCTTAGCAAGATCTTAAAAATATCTTTCCAAGATCATTGAAAGATCTTGTCAAGATCTTAGCAAGATCCTGCAGCTTCTTGCAGGATCTTGTCCAAGATCTTACATGATCTTACCAAAGGTCTTGCCAAGATTTTATCAAAGATCTTGCCATGATTTCACCAAGATCTTGTCAAGATCTTACCAAGGTTTTCAACCTGGGATGCTCAGATAAGACCATACAAATTTTCAAAAAACTAGAAGCATGTAGAAGCCAAAAGACTAGAAAATGAAATGAGTGGAATAATAAATATCTCATTCGATGGTTTAACATATAATATGGGAAGACATTTCCACTTTCCATTTTCCACCTCAACAAGCTCTTCTTCAAAAATTCCTTCAAGTGTACCACTGTTGAATTTTGAATATTCACCACTGTTCACATTTCAAGAATTAAAGAAAGTGGAACTTGACAAAAATGATTTTGAAAAGGCACAAATAGTTACACATTACAGTTATTGAACCTTATTTCTTAGAAAATGAAAGCACATTTTGAGCTGATTGATATCAGTGAATACCAATGAAGTGCATATTTACACTTATTGTTGTTACTGCCTATGGTAAACATGCCTCTGTGGTGGACTCTATTTAAGCCCTTCCTCCTAAATATTTTCCTTACACATGTATGTTTATGGTTGTCTATTTAAGAGGGTGTAGATGTGCGTTTCACTCAGGAACCTCCTAATCCAAGCTACTTTAACAATGGTAGTGATGCCAACCTGATGTGGGACTACACTGATCCACATAATAACATTCATGCCATTATCTATAGTGTTGTGATAAATCGTGCATTTGTCAAAATGTTGGTTAATGACAATCATGGTGTCCAAGAACATCCTGATATTCCCCCATCTTACAAAGGAAGAGTTAAAATTGAAGGAAGAGCTACCCTAGTTATCGAGAACATCAACCCTGGAGACAATACCATATTTAGATGTAAACTCCTTGGAGCTATCTACACATTTGCAAGTAGAGTTCAGCTTCTTGTGGCAGGTATGTATTACAGATATAAACATTAATAATCAAAAATAAATCAAATGCATTCAACTCATGTCTGTCATGTTACTGAGATCTGGAAAAAGTAAGCAATAGCATAAATATGCAAAAAAACCTTCATATGCAGGGCTGTAAGTGGCTAGCTAGCCTGCCTTTTGGGAACAATAGTGCTACTTTTACTTGGCATGCAACAACATACTCCTAAAGGGAGAAAAGAAATTCTACAATTCACTTAATTTGCTGTTTTACATCAGTAAGAAATCAAAGAGTTATCAGAGAGGTATTGCTTTATTCTTCTGGCACTAATTACTGGGTTGCTCTGTTATGCATAGATAACCATTATTGATATGATTACTGTCAATTGAAAATGGTCAGTCAAAACTAGAAACAATCCAACTGGTTGTACTATATTGCTAAATCACTAAAGGAAAATATTGCATGACCAATCATAGGCATGTGAAATGAAATCAATGTGAAAAAGATTGTATTTATTTTCATACCTTTTAAAGGGACTTGCCAAAGGCAGTTAAAGTCGGCACTGTGCCATTTGCTGCTTTCTGAGGATTATATGATCTTAGAGGTTTGCAGATGTAAATTTAGCCAACAGAATGGTGACTTCCTCAAGTAATTTCTGAGACTAAGGAGCAAATTGAGACTTGTTATTTGACTGATTCAATGTTGAAAACGTTTGTGACATCTCAATATTCATGTACAATTTACCTCATTGTTTGCTTGAACGATTTTCTTCACTTGTAGAGAATCCAAACTCACTGTTTGCTATGTTCACTTGCTTGTTTTGGATCCTTCATGACCCTAGGATAAAAATTGTTTGAGCTCACCAGCCATTACATAATCTTCTTTCTTTCCTTTCCTTTATTTTAATTATGCATTTGCCATGTTGTGTTAGCTTATTTTAACTGTAACACAATACCTGTCACACAACTCCTCTTTTCGAATTGTATTACGAGAGAAAGATACCAGGTTATTATGGCTTAAAAGCAACAAAAGAATCATCATTTGTATTTGGTTTTTGTAGCCTAAAGCCAACCCATGTCTCATATTTCACCTGTAGAAAAAATCGAAGGCCAAACATCCTGTTTTTTTTTTTTACTAAGACTGGACCTTCTTTTAACTTAAGTAATGGGCAAGCAGCATTCAGCATGCCACTGGTATATTCTTTTTATTGCAAAGAGTTCGTAGTTTCTCTTTCATCAAGATTTCAGTCCTCTGGGTGGAGTATGTCTCCTGAAGATCCTGTGTCAGGCCAAGTTCCGAGTGGGGTGATTGGCTCTGTTCCTATTTGTTTGTGCAGCAGCAAAAATTTTATCCACTTGAATGGAAGTATCTTAGAAGCCAGGGTCCTTAGCCCAAAGAGAAACTTCCTGAATTAGCCCTTAATTCCCTACGCTGGGGCTCTACTTTTTAATTTAGCTTGTGAGCAAGTTACCCAATAGCTAATGCCAACAGGCTAACTTGTACTGAATTAAGTTTGTGCCTCCTTATACTAGTTGGTTGTTGGGGACCAATTGCTGGATGCTTTGGTTATTTTATTGAAATTGGGTATATTTTAAGACTCAGTCCAAGTAAGGCTTGCTGCGCCACGTGAGGAATGATATAATCTCTTTTACCTTTCAGAGGCACTGCTTATAAACATCTCTTTAAGAGGAAAATATTACATTGAAGGATCCCCTGTCACCATGGCCTGTGAGGCCTCTGGGAAACCACTGCCGGAGGAGGTGGCATGGATTAGAAATGGAGTACTGGAAAGTTCAGGGAAGAAAGCTACGTCTTTAAAGTTCGATAATATAAACAGAACAGATGCAGGACAATATACATGTCGAGCCAATAACTCAGTGGAAGTCACTTCTATTGACACAACAATTGTAGTTCAGTGTAAGTATATTTTAACCTTAATTTTCTATTTCTGAATTTACTTTATTAACAGTGCGAATCCTGTTATGAGGGTCAGTTACCCAGGACTGACAAATCTGTTCAAAAGTGTAAGGGAACAGAATTCCACATCAAACCCTTTTCGGCTTTGTATATGCATTGGTCCCAATTATTGGTTGGGACAATCGAATTTACGTGGAATCATTGCTCATGTTATTTTACTTAGAAGAATATGACATTTTTTTGCCAAGTCATTGCTTCAGTTGGACTATGTTTAACTCAGAAAATGGTTTAAAACCATTTCCGAATTATTGTGATAATCCAAAATTCACTCCGTTTGACTAGCGGACAAGGCTAGCGCATATTCTGATTCTGTGTGAGGGCTCTGGTTGGGGCTTAAGGGAAAGCTGAGAATTGGTCAAAATTCTTTTATCTGAGAAACTACATGTTTTTTTACTGGTAGCTGAGATCAGCTAACAGGTGCGAAAATCGGCTTGAACTAAAACTGCATACCTAAGATTTGCGCACATATTTGTATGTGTGGCATTCGAGATATATTATTTCAGGGCGAGAATCCATTGTATATTTAATTATTCGTAAGCCTTGCCACCTTATTTATTCTAAATACTCGACTGTCAAACGACACAAAAGTGACGGACTGCACTATGGAGTGATTACAACTTCACTTTTTTTTAAAGACAGGGAAAGGAATGTCAGATGCTGCACTTGGGTAATTGATTTCTATGACTTTCTAGTTTTGGAGGTTGTGTAACCTGCAAGCACTATGCCGCCCCCCCATGAGAGATATCTAATTGTTTCAGCGTTCACATTTGCGCAGGTATTGGACCTCTGTTGTCAGGAGCTGATAAAAAGCAAGCACGAACAGCATGCTAATCTCTAGATTTTGAAGTCACTCGTCCTTAAGAAAATTACACCGGACATGCCTTCTTGGAGTATACCACATATATATAAAGCATGACCTGAAGATTTTAGATATATGAAAATTCACATATTTGCACTGCGGTGAAAAGATGAAATTAGGAGATCCTCGCAGCTAAGAACACTACTGAAACGAGTAGTTGTAAATAGGACCTGAAAAAAATTTCAGGCCCGTACGGGATTTGAACCCATGACCTCTGCGATACCGGTGCAGCGCTCTACCAATTGAGCTAACAAGCCAACTGGGAGCTGGTCAATGAATTGGGTCCAAATAAACATCCAAGTGAATGAAGATTTTACCTGTTACAACTCAAAGATCAATACAAAGTCAGTCTATTAAGGGTCCACATCTCACCCCTTCATCATTCATTATTTCATTTTAGTGACTCACAGCCAATTTGATTCAGTCATCGGTCTATTTGTAATTTGGAAAGGTTTCTGTTCTTATCAAGAAAAGAAAAACAAAACTACCAATAAAAAACAAACAAACAAAAACGACGTAAATGTCCAGAAATGGCCCAAGTCAATGAGATTACAGCATTGAGGTTTGCTGCTCTCACCAATCACATCATGGCATTAGGTTTTTCAAAAGAAAGATATGAAGTTTTGACTGATGAAGTGAAATGAACTTGTTAACTTCTGGTGGAAACTGGCTGCTTATCTTGATTCAAGTAATCCAAAGTATTGTGACAGAATTTTCAGTTTTCAATTTATAAAAAGCATTTACAACAGAATTTGAAAACATCTCAGCAATCATGCTAATAACAGCAGTTATTCGCATTAGGCCCAGTGAAGATTGTTGAATAATCGCTTCAACCTCGTCTTAGGAGATCGTTCAACAATATTCACCTCACCTTCGGCTAACAAATACAGTAAACACCCGCGTATAAGAACCTAGTGATTTAAGAACCTACAGGCTGAAATTGGGCATTTTAGTAGCCAAATATATAAGAACCTATTTAGGCTGGCAAAGAACGACAGGTTCTTATACAAAAAAACACTCTTATTTTGTAGCCAAAAATACTGGATTTTAATTGATAGAAATTGTGAAACACCATCAGAACTTATATTTGATTATTTTCAAATTGGTTCAATTTTAATTCCCTAAATTGGGTTGTTATTTATTTTTGCTGTTTTTATTTATATATTTATATTGCTGTTAACAATTTACATTATTATCAAATACAACTGTAAATATGGTAGCCTATGATACTGAATTTATTATTGTTTTAAAAATAAGGCTTGGCATTTTTGCTGTTTAAAATACAAATGTTCAACCATTATGACATACTAGTACTACAGTAGTTCTCTGAATGGTATCACTATGACAACTCCTACAAATAAGAACCTACTAAGAACCTAATCAGCCTGAGTTTGGAAAAACTACCCCAAAATATAAGAACCCATTCAGCCTGAACCCAAAAATTCTAGGTTCTTATACACGGGTGTTTACTGTATTAAATGCACAGTACTGTGCAAAAGTAACGCAAGGGAAATGCGTGAATTTCGTTCTTTGTTCCAGTGAACTTTCGTCGAAATCCATGCGATAGTTCGATTGACTTGAGGCTTTTTGAGCAAAGTTCCGTTTAAAAGAGAGCGCTATTTCGTTGAATTTTCGCTTTGAAACAAAAGTTCAGTGAAATTTCGTGATAAAAAGCGTCAGTTTACTGCTTGAATAGAAAAGAATATGAAGACCCCGAAGAAGGGATCATCTCTGCCTCCTTCCAAGGTGATGCTGTATCTAAAATCTAATGATCAATACCAATAATTAATTAAGAGTTGATGTAAATGAGAGTCAGCAATTAGCGTTGCCGCAAAACAAAACAAAACATGCGAAGCTTGTGAAGTTTAGCAACAAATCTGTGTTTACTGCTACTTACTTTTCCTTTGGGCTTTTCTGGTTTTTTCGTTTCTTTTAAGTTTGTAACTTTTCTTTCCTGCTGTTTCATTTGTTTTTGCCAAGGGTGACTCTGGAATCTGCGAGTAAGATCAAAATGCATCAAAATCTCTTCAAGTTAACAAGTATAGGTATGTCAAACTTAAAGGCAGTCTGTTGAACGAATACTTACCAATTTCTTCTTTGCTCTTGTTTGACGTGGCGGCAGGTCGCTCTTTGTGAAAGTTTTCTGAACCTCCACCTCCAGCGGGTAGCAATCCACAACTGCCATGTGCTCCTTACTAGTCTTTCTCAGGATTACCTTTACTTTCTGCCCCTCTTTAAGCGCACAAAGATGCAAATCTTGGTGGCACCATGTCTACTGATTCCCCCCACACATGAACTTTGAGGGGATAGTTCGGTTTAGGCTTGCGCTTTGTGGTTTCGTCCTCCATGCTGAAGCACTTACAACGATAAGATTGGAGGAAGATCGAGCACTCGTCGCTGAAAATCATGTTCTGGAAAGTGTCGCCACTCTCCAAGATGCGTTGAGCGAATTTCAGATGCTTGGCTTTGTTGATGTCACGAATCAGCTGGCAATAAGCAGTCTGCTGCAGATTCCAGCCTTGCTGCTCTCACGCTCTCGTACCGTAGACGAAATAACTAGAATTCCACGTTTTGCAAGCCTCTTAACTTAACGGGCGCCTAGCCATGTTATAAAATAAAAATTTTAAGAACAGAGGAGTAGTTTCTGGTACTCTAATCGGTCCATGTTATCTCTTTAGTTGAAAATTGTATTTTATAATTCTCAAAACTTTTGAAACACGCATCTAAAATAAAAAAAAGCTTCACAGGCCCGTTAAACTACCTGGACTTTCGATAAACGGGCCCCTGGTGAGAAAACTGTCCTCTTGCCGTCAATATTCCGGGAATTATGATGAGAGTACCAAGGTAGTGCTCCCCAGGGCCACAGCCAATATATTTAGCTATCTGAAGCTGGTTTCAGGTGTCGCCACATTTGACTTATTTTGGGCCACAGAAACCCGATCAGTGTTCAATGCACTCCTCCTCCTTCGTCGTCCCAGCCGAGAAAATGTGGCAGAGTTTTGTCGCCAGCTTTAAAGTAGCGAAAAATTCAGCTCAACAGTCTTTACAAGACTTTCAACCTTTCCGTCAGACGCACAGCAGTCGTAGTGAACAGCCATATAACAGCCTCCATGATCACTTGCCACGAATTTCTCAGCAGCACGTTTAGTTACTGTAATATTCGGTCTCTCTGTACAAATAAACAAATATTCCTTCAAGTGCAAAGGGTAAAGTAAACTTTTTATATTGTTCAGTTAAGCTCTTTTTCAAATAAAAAATTTTCTGGACGTTTTGTTGCAGGCAAATTCTGAAATGAAATGAATAGCGTTTCACTTTCATTTAGGTCTTCAGCCAATGAAAATAAGGCCTCTTGATGTAAGGAGGACATGTTTTAGAAAAAAAATTGTTCACAAACGAGTAGTTACGCTTTAGTTTAGTTGCACTCGTCTCCTGGCCCAAAATTAAAGATTTTAATAAAAATATTTTCACGAGCGACACCGTTTTTATGTCCGTTAAGACATAAAGCTGGGCTTCACAAATTGCTCATTTTTAATAGCAGAGGATATAAAATAGCTATCCTAGTAAAAACATAGTGCTATTTTTCTTGCTGCAGTAATGCCATTGTTTTTTCAGTGTGCAATGTGTAAGTTAAAGTATTTTGCTTTTAGTCAGCATTCTAACCATTGATAGATGACTTGCTACAATTTTACAAAAGCGCTATATTTTCTGCCCAAGGCACTCCATGGACTGATACAAGTCCATTATATTATACATTATGCACCTTCTAGACAGGCGAAATGTATGAGCGATGAAATATCTGAGATGATTTGATTTAAATTTTTAGACAAACCTGAAGGTGTGAGGCTCACTACCAGTGCTGCCCAAAATACCGTCGCTGAAGGAGATACTGTTTCATTCAAATGCAAAGTTACGGCTGCTGTGCCACAAGTGTCAATTTACAAGTTCTATTTCAATGGCAGCCTCCTAAGCGAGAACAGCAATAGTGAGTATACTGTCAATAACGTCAATCGATCTCAGCACTATGGCGAGTACAAATGTATCCCACATAATGACGTTGGAGATGGAGCAAAAGCCACCGTGAGACTTAAAATAAAGGGTGAGTAGAAACATCTTTGAGCATTTTTAAGTACTTTGGAATTATAATTTAAAACGGGAAAAAAGTTTTATACCAGTTTACATTGCGTCAATAAAACTTCCCACTGTGAACCATTACAACCCCGAACAGGAAGGAATAGAGACCCTGGTGATGAGGTTGACGTGTTGTGCGTGGCGATCAACACATGTGCTAGTTAGCAGTATTCTCAAGCTGATGAAGACTTTTGTTGATGTTCCTGATGTTTTGAACAGATTTTCAAGGATAGGGAAAGTTTTCTTTTGATGTAGTGTATGATGTCAGTATCAGTTGAACTGATATGTTATGGAAATGAATTAAAATATTGGTTTGCGAAAAATGAACCAAAATTAAAAAAAACCACAATTAGCAACCTCTAGTTAAAGTATCACTAGTCAATTATATGCTGCCTTCAATCCTAATAAGGTTGGGAAACTGTAAGTGGTGTTTGACTGCACGGTCCAATACAAAGGGAAATCGTGGTCCAGACTTGACTAACAGTCTGCTTGGTGTCCTCTTAAGATTTTGTCAGGAACTAGTATCTCTCTCGTCAGACATTGAAGCCATGTTCCACCCAGTAATGTTTGATCCACATGATGTTGATACCTTAAAGTTCCCTCGGTGGCCTGACGATGACTTATCTAAGGAGCCTGTTGAGTACACTTTTTTGGTAGCACTTCTTCACAAAGTCGGGAAAATTTTGGTCCACAAGAAAGACGGCTCAAGACAATGCAGGAGACTTTGACAATGAAGTGATCGACACAGTATTGAAGAAATTTTATGGGGATGACTGTTCGAAAGCGGTGCAGTAAATTGAGAGATTTGTGTGTCCTATTGTCAAGAGGTGGATTTCGATTGACTAAATGATTGTGTGACAGGAGGCAAGTCCTCAGAACCATTCCAACCTCAGACAGAGCTTCGTCAATTCTGGATTTGGATTTAAATTCTGGTGTACTTCGTATCGAAATAACCCCTTGGTGTTCAGTGTAACATGGAAAGCAACATGTTTACCTTCAAGATGATACCAAAAGATGTCCTTCACACGAAGAGTATTCTATCAGTGACTAGCTCCATTTATTATCCAATTGACATAGTATCACCAATCACCTTATTAGCTACAAAGCTCCTTCAAGATCTCTGCAAACAAGGACTCACCTCGGATGAAGAGAAAATGGGAGAGAAATTTCAGTTTTGAAGATCATGGCTATCTAATTTACCTATGCTTTCAAGTGTTTCCTTACCAATAGGTTTGAAAAGCGATCGACTATGGCCGGGTAAAAAATGCAGAGCTTCACCACTTTGCAGATGCCCTTCAGATTGCTTATGGGACTGTGTGATATGCAATACTCGTCAATGAAAATGGCCGTACCCACTGCAGTTTCCTCGCCGGAAAATCTCGCGTAGCTCACGTGAAACAGATGACTATACCCAGATTGGAATTTTCAGCCGCTGTTTTAGCTGTCAGAATGAATAATACGTTACAAGAGTTTCAGTCAAAAGTTGACAAGACAGTTATTTGGTCAGACTCCACAGCTGTCCTCCAATATATCAGGGGCAAAGAGACAAACGATTCTACATGTTTGTGGCCAATTACCTGGCAGTGATACATGATGGCTCAGAACCTTCCCAGTAGAACTATGTGCCAACAAGCATCAACCCAGCTGACGATGCCAGCCGAGGACTATCGGTAAAGGAGTTATTAGAGAAGGAAGTTTGGTTCAGAGGCCCTAAGTTTTTGTGAGAAAGTGAGACATCGTAGCCCACCCATCCAGTCTCCTCAGTCAGTATTTCTGAGTAAGACCCAGCAGTCAGAGGTCAAACTCGAACAGACCATATTACTCTCATGGAGGATAAACGACCACTGAACCTAATGGTTCTGCAATATTCGTCATGGTTTGAGCTTAAGAAGAGAGTTGCTTGGCGTCTAAGATTTAAGGAAAATTCTTTAAGAGCAAGAGGTGCTTAGAAGAGAACCCTGTTGATCCATTACCTTGTGGAAGGCTGTCGATAGACGAATTACGATATGCAGAGGCTCAAATCATCACATACGTGTTAAAATTAACTTTCTCGCCAGTGGTTAAAGCCCTCCCAGACTTGAGCCTAGAAGAATCTGAGAAACGTAAATTGAAGATTATTGGCTCATTTGGTTCAGTGTACAAATTGAGACTATTTCTGGACGGAGCAGGAATATCGAGAGTTCGTGGTCGGCTTCAAAATTCTTCATCGGATTACCAATCGAAACATCCATTGCTGTTACCTTCAGAGCACCATGTTACCAAGCTGCTCATTACGGATGTTCGTGAGTCTGTGGGTCATCTAGGTTAAGAATATGTCATGACCAGCCTGAGACAAAAGTACTGGATCTTCAAGGGACGGGCTGCTCTTTGAAGAGTACTCAGTTACTGTTTGATATGCCAAGACAAAATGCTGCAATTGATGTTAGATTTACCTGGCAACAGGCTTGTTCCAGATAAACCCCGTTTTCTAACGTTGGCATAGATTTCTTTGGCCACTTTACGTGAGGCAAGGCAGAAGTACAGTTAAAAGTTATGGTGTCTTTTCTCTTAACTATACGAGCAATCCACATTGAAGTGACCGAGTCTCTCGACACAGATTCGTTTATCTGTGCTCTTTGCAGATTCATCATCAGAAGAGAGAAGCCAAAGATGATAAAAGGTAACAATGGTATGAACTTAAGTAGCGGAGAGAGAGAAATCCGTGAAGCCCTAAACGACTGGAATCAGCAGAAGATAGAAGTTATCCTACACTAGAAGAACATCAAGTGAAGTAGTCGCCCAATACTTAAAGTAAACTTGAGGGGCTGGAATGTAGCAACTAGAATTTGCATTTCTGTCGATTGTCAAGTAACTGCGAAAATATTTTGTATCGTTTTTCTTTCAATTGAACTACTATTGTGATGTTCTGTTTTGATTTAATTGAGCGCGCGTTTTTGTAGGAGGTTGTGTAAGAATTACACAATGCTGGTGGCACTTTATTTCTCGCCAGTAAAAGCTTTGTTTTGTTACATACTTCTCATAACTAGTTGATTTCAAATAAGTCGGTCGTCTCGTTAGTTTTTGCTAGCGCCGTGTTACTTTTGTTTAAGAGTTTTACTACCAGCCCTGGTGATGCCACAAATTGTAAGTTCATTTCTTTTTCATGCTCTGTCGTTAGTCTTGTTGCTATATTTGTATTTAGAAATTTGTATTTATTATTTATTTTCAGTCATATCACAAGTACACAACTACACATCTACACATCTTTACATCTACATCGTCCATCGGGCGAACAGATAAGCTCTGCATTCATTTTGTGGCGAACCTGGCGCTACAAAACCTTTCCCATTTTACTTGGAAAAGCACTTTTTTCGATATTAGAAGAAACCATTCGGCTTCATCTTAAAATTAAACAGATTTAACTATTAATATATATAATATTAACATATTAAACTTGACACTTTGTCACTTGACACTTTGTCACTTGACCTTTATTTCAAACTTAGCCCTCTCAGTAGTTCTTTGCCATTTTTGCTGCTTTTTAGTGATAGCGTTGACAATAATAATAATAATTACAATCATGAGGAAAGTTATAAAAATATCAATGATAATAATGTTGGGTACAATGATATTAATAATAATAAAAGTTTTAGGAAGTGTAGTCTATCATACCCAGAACCTCCATGAAAAACAATATTTCAGCTAACGTATTATTACTATCAAGTGGTTTGAGATTGGTATGATGATTGATTAAATTTAAAAATTTCATGTCGATCATTTGAGTCATATTTTGTTTTTCCCCAGTTCAAATAATTTCAAGTACAGTTGCTACTTCATCCCAAACAACTCCTGCAGGTAATTAACGTTTTTTTATAGGCGTTTCTTTAACCTCCGCGTAAAACTATGTCATCATAATAGCATGTTCTTTGCTGTTACGAAATGAATTTGAGTAAAAGGCAAAGAGTGAATTAAGTCACTAAAAGTCTGGAACTTAGCAAAGGACTGTAGACTCTCAAACAGTCACAACACAGACTGCTAAATCTATATCAAAATTGGAAAATTTGTTTGCAAAGTTGTTACTATTCCGCAATAACCTTTCACCTAACACAAACTTATACGATTATGTGAATCTCGTCAGGTGTCATGCAGCGACTCAAAAGATCTTTATGAGTAAAAGGCTATACCTTCTACAATTGAAGGATTAAGAATAAGCATAATTATAGATGTATAAAAGTATTCTTTTTATTTCTCTAAAGACTCATTCTAGGTGTGGGTTAATGAATATTTTATGGCATATAACACTGGCCATCCTCAAACACAAGTAACTTAATTCATGTCGCTCCGCAAAACTGTTTTTCAAGTGGGGTGGGGGGGGGGAGTGAACCACAGTATTCGTTCAAAAAAATATAATTCAATCCCTCTGAGGGCCTACTTACACATGTTACAAGTTTCTGTATCAAATATTAAAACATTGTGATCAAGGCTAATCGTAACATGTTTATGCTATTGCGTGCACTAAAACATAAGTTTACTCTCAAGCTTAGTGGCACACTCTGTCAGAACGATCTCTGCTGGAATTATTGGACAATGTTCAAACTGAATTATTGTTAGATGGAACCACTTCTCAGCAGTTTTTGTGAATCAAGGCTCTTCATGTTTTTCGTAAATGTAAAAGGACACGGCTTTTCTTTAGCTTCAGAAAGTACAGATGTTTACCTGACAGCGACAATACAGGGGAACTGTAGCACACGTTCAGAAGTTGCTGCGAAATTTCCAGAAATGGTTAGATAATCTACTTGATCCTTATACCGGAGTGTATAGAATTCTGCCATAACATTTATCATTAAAAGGGAGTCTTAATAAATCTGCTCTTGAACGAAATTTCAATATTTTTGGTAAAACAAAATGACATTTTGAACGATCTTCAATTATGAAACAAGTATTCGGACTTACATTTTCTCTTTAAATGTCCTTCTAGGCTTGTCAAATTGCCTTTAAGTTTGGCTGCTCATCCGCCAACACCGTGAACACGAGGTAAGGTGCAGTTTGTCTCAACACTGAAACAACAAACCTTAGTTTATTACATCAAAAACGCTCTTTTGGTCAAATATCAACGTATTTTAACACTTAAAAGTCACCAAAGTACAAATAGAATGCCGAATAGAGCACCGTGCTGTAAAGAGCAACAAATATTAGGAAAAGGTAATGCGATAATATTTCCAAAGTTGACAAATGTTTGAATAGGTGATGTCATAAACAGTCACGCGTATTTGTTATGTAATCAAAGTCGTCACGCTTTTCGTTTTGTTTGTACAAAGAGAGCACATGACAACAATTGTAGGATATCAAATTTAGTGTGTATATTAGGGGCGTGTGATTTAACTCGAAAGGTTCTTTCTGTACGATATCAGAGTGGAATAAATCAGAATTTATACGAAAACGATTACGACTACTTCGTGTTTATAATATGGCGCCCAACGTGGGGCTCGAAATCACGACCTGAAGAAAAGATGTCAGAAGGAGATCTACCACGACTAAGAGCAACTCGCGGGGCCAACAGAGGAGTCATAACGAAGTTCATCGGCGAAGCCGATACAATCTTGGAAAATGTGACCTCCGAATTGGATATCAAAACGAAAAACAAGTTAACGAGAATCGAAGAAATGTTAAAGGAAAAATCGAAACTGGTCTCAGATCTAGACGAAAAAATCGTATCCGTCTGTAAAAGGGAGGAAATCGAAAAGGAAATTGACGAAGCCGAAACATTAAAAATGCGAGTAATGGACGCTCTTGCGAATATTTCCCTCACGACAACGCCCTCAAATACGAGTACAACTTACACGACAACCGGTGGATCCGCGGCACAATTTACAGAAAACAACCCTTCTATTCCGACCGGTTCACTATCGACGCCTCCTTCGACTCAAGCCATACAAACAACGGGATCTCCTCCAGCTTCTTCAGCTCCTCCTTCACCGAATCAAACTTCCCAACATAGTGGTACACCTCCTACAACAAATGCAGCGACATCTAAACTACCAAAGCTCACCCTACCGAAATTTAGAGGCGAAGTGACTCAGTTCAAGCCGTTCTGGGATACATTCGAAAGTGCCGTCCATTCGAACCCGAATTTATCGAAAATCGCAAAGTTCAATTATCTAGTAGCTCAACTCGAGGGAGCAGCGTCACGCGCCTTTGCAGGGTTACCGATTACCGAAGACAACTATCAAGCGGCTGTGGACATTTTGATGAAACGATTCGGAAAACCACAACAAATCATCGCTTCCCACATGGACGAACTTTTGAAAATCTCCGTATGTTCTTCAGAAAGGCCTTCTCAACTCCGTTATTTGTATGACAAAATCAGCGTAAACGTAAGAGGCTTAGAGGCCCTGGGCATCAAATCTGCACAATATGGAAGTCTTCTCATTCCGGTAATTATGTCGAAACTTCCTCCCGATATACGAATTCACGTCGCTCGCAACACTAGTCAAGATGTCTGGGAAATAATAATAATAATAATAATAATAATAATAACGAATTTTTATACAGGATTGAAAAACCCATCAGTGTGTAACACTGTTGTCCTTGGGGTCCTGTCAAAAATAATAAATAAATAGATAAAATAAAATTTAACAAGATATAATCATTGATCTTAAGGTCTAGAAAAGCATACAATAAAATGAAAAAAAAAAAAAAAAAAAAAAAATTAAAAATTAAATAAAAATGCTCTGAAAAGGATACCTATAACCACGTTTAGATAGAATTTAACTAAAATAATCTCGCAATTTGTTCTTAAATTTCAGTCTCGAATCTAACGACCTTAGTTCAGCAGGCAGGTTGTTGAAAGTCTTTGCTCCTTGGTAATAGAAGCTCTTTTTACCAAATTCTAAACGAACTTTGGGTAATTTCACTGATATACCGTTATTCCTAGTGGCCTTAGAATGAACCAGCCTTTCGAAGTAGTTCTTAAAGGGTGTGCAAACATTATTCAGGAGACAGTCGAAAACAAACAGACAGCTTTTACGCTTGATCAAATTGTTCACGGATGGGGGATTAAAAGAACTATTGCCGATAACTTTAAAGCCTCGTCGTTCGATGTTCTTTATCATTTCCTTTCGGTAATCCGGAAAGCTAAGACCAAGTGTTCCGCAATAGGTAAAGATAGGTGCGATCATAGTGTTATAGATCGATTCTGCACACTTTTGGTCGATCAAAGGACGAATTGATCGCAAGAGATTGATTCTGGTTGCAGCTTTTTTATAGATTCGGTCAAAATGTGATGCGAGGTTTAGTGATGAGTCAAGGTGAACACCTAAGTACTTATAGGTAGAGGTATTATTGATGAGTGACCCATTAGCAGAAAGTTTAAGTTCCTTGTCTTGAAGGTTGATTCTTTTAGCTGTTCCAAATAACATAGACTCCGTCTTGTCCTTTTTTAGGTTAATGATCAGTTCGTTGTCTTTAAACCACTCGCACAGGTTATTCATATCCTCGCTAAGGCTTCTCTGTATAGTATCAATATCTTTAGAAGAGGTATAGATGACTGAATCGTCGGCATAAGTGATAATCTTCGAGTGTTGAAGCAGTTTATGTACATCGTTGAAAAAGATAATGAATAAGATAGGACCCAGGATACTTCCCTGAGGAACACCTGTGAGAATGGGTTGAGGTTCTGATAGCACGCCTTTATATTGGACAACTTGTGATCTGCAGAAAAGGTAATCAGTGAACCATGCGAGTTCTGTTCCACGAACTCCGTAAGTTGAAAGCTTGCTCAGGAGGCCAGAGTGACTGATGGTGTCAAACGCCTTGGATAGATCGATGAAAACACAGCCTGTCAGGTTACCATTCTCACCTTCTCTTCTGATAGCATCGGTAAGATGAGTAACGGCCAGTTCAGTAGAGCGCATGCGACGGAAGCCGTACTGAAAATGAGAAAGTAGACCATTCTGTTCAAAATGAGCCATCAGCTGCTTATATACCACTTTCTCCAGGATCTTTGACATTGAAGGAAGTATTGAAATAGGCCTATAATTGTCGATTTCGGCCATTGAACCAGATTTAAAAAGTGGTACAATTTTAGCCGCTTTCCAGTCAGTAGGTACAGACCCTGTTGCGAGAGACAGGTTAATTATATGCGTGAGAGGCTTGGCTATTATATCAGCAGAGTCCTTTAACATTCCAGAAGGAAAGTTGTCAAGGCCAGAGGACTTATTTCTCTTAAGGCTCTTTAATGCATTAAAGACAACCTTTTCCGAGACTGATCTAAACTCAAAGTTCTCTAGCGGCTGCTGGGTGTCTATTGTAAGGGGCCTTTTCCAGACAAAATTGCAAAGAGGGAAGATCTTTCTTTTTAGAGATCGCGCAACATCAGTGAAGAATTTGCAGAACAAATTTGCAATAACCTCTTTGTCGGTTTCTACTGCTTCATTAACGAGAAAAGCTGCTCCTGGTTCCTTTGTAGACTTTGTAGGGTATAGTTTTTTAATAGCTGACCAAAATTTGTTAGGTGAACCCACAGTCTCCTCTAAGAGTTCACGGTGATACCTGCTTTTGCAATTTTTTACCATACCGTTAACTTTGTTTCGTTGGCGCTTGTACGAAGACCAGTCAATTTCACGATTTGTCTTTCTCGCTTTTCTCAAAAGCTGATCTTTGGTATTCATTTCTTGCTTTACCTTCTGTGTAAGCCATGGGCTGAGTTTCCCTTTGATCCTCTTCTTTATAGCTGGCGCATGCTTATCAATACATTCTTTCAGAATGGCTTTCAAAAAAGACCATGCTTCATTAACGCAGGAGGATTTAAAGACAGGTGTGAAACTATTGGACCGTAAATCATTGCAAAAGGATATAGGATCATAATTAGCATAGTTTCGACAGGTGATGGTTCTTGGCTGGAATTTATGGTTATGCAGCTTCCGGACACAACCAATCATATCATGGTCACTTAAGCCGGCGGGAATGACTTTAACACTATAAACATTCTGAGGGCGATTTGTGTAAATCACATCTATCAGTGTTTTTGAATCTTGCGTTACCCTCGTGGGATCCTTGATTAGCTGTTTAAGGCCAAAAGACAATAGCATTGCCTTCAGTTCTTTGTTGTCTGAGCTTACCAAATAGTTGCAGTTGATATCGCCTGTCAAAATGCATTCTTTGTTTTCAGATGATACAGCAGAAAGCATCGACTCCAGTTTATTTTCAAAATCTGCACAAAGATGCTTTGAAGAACTCGGGGGCGATAAATAAAACCAATAAGGATACCCTTAGATTTTGGAAATAGAATTTCTATCCAGATACATTCGATCCCATCGCGTTCCAGGTCTAGTCTTCTATGAAAGGGGACAGAAGAGGAGATATAAACTCCCACACCTCCACCTTTGCCTGTTTTCCTTGGTCTATTAATGAACGTATAGCCATCCAGTTGAACTTGAGCCTCTTCACTGTCCGATAGATGAGTCTCACTGAGGGATATGATGTCTATATGCTTGGAATCATCGATCATTTGGCATAGACTATCCCTGTTCGCCACGAGGCCTCTGATATTTTGATAAATAATTGTAAGCCCATTTTTCGTTGACAAATCCCGAAGATCAGACAGGATGTCATGTGAACTAGAGGAGCCAACAGGACCAGGTTGAAGTTCAACATCATTTGCGAGACGAATGAGTAGTAAGGAAAGAGAGGAATTAATCGCAAAACGGCATCCAAGGAGTAGAAGTCTTGAATTCGGCAACTGGAGATTCTTTGCATGTTGCGAGCTCGGTGACCGATGGTTAAAAGGTTGAATTCTCACTGTCGTCAGACCGTGAGAAATGAAGAGAAGAGTATCACCAGATATATCGAGGTCAGGATTAGCCTTGGGAAGGAGTGCACCAGAGAAACAAACGTAGAAATAAAGCAGAATGATCCAGCATCTAAGAGCTCTAAAAACGTGACCGTCCGCCATATTGATATGGTAATTTTTCGAACCGAACCGCTGCTCGACCTATTACAACGCGAAATCGAAGCGAGAGAAATGAGCGAAAGAGTTAAAACCGTCCCACCTTTAGAATCAAAACGACAGCCTCCTCTACATTTTGTTCCTGATAAATCGAAGGTTTTGCCACCCACTATTCCACCCGGTACTTCTGGTGCCTATCTTGCTGATTCACAAACCCAACAGTTTGCGCCGACTTGTGTTTACTGTTCTGGGAAACATTTCTCAGCTTCGTGCGAAACGGTCACCGAATTAAACGCTCGCAGAACCATCCTTGCTCGGGACAAAAGATGTTTCATGTGCCTTCGAAAGGGACATCAACAGGATCAATGCCAGAAAACTTGCAGAAGATGCGACAAGAGACACCATCAATCGATTTGTCCACGAAACGCGAACTCCTCCAACAACAACAACAACAACGCGCAGAATACAGAACGTCCCCTTAATTCCGACCGATCTACACAAGAAAGACCTAGGGACCAGACGATCAACGAAAGAGAGAATACTGGCATCACAACAGCAACTACGACAAATCGCGAGAGTTCAAAACCGAATTGCAGAGTGTTACTTCAAACAGCTAAGGCTGTAGCGACAAACGAAGATGGGACTAGATCGACCGTGGTGAGATTACTTTTCGACAGTGGAAGTCAGCGCTCTTACATCACTGAGAATTTACGAGCAACACTTCATCTGAAATCACTTCAAACTGAACGACTCAACTTAAACACATTTGGAGAAGCAAAGTACAAGACGCAGAATTGCGATGTTGTGAAATTACAAGTACGAAGGTCTGGATGCGAAGATGCCATTAAAATTTCTGCTCTGACATTTCCGGTTATTTGTTCGCCTTTACCTGGCAAGGTCTCTGTAAACTACCCGCATTTGGATGGATTGGAGCTAGCGGATGAACCGTTTGACGCCGAAGGTTCGATTGATATTCTGATCGGCTGCGATTATTACTGGCATTTTGTAACGGGGGAGACAAGACAAGGAGACGAAGGTCCCATTGCTGTAAATAGCAAACTCGGGTGGCTGCTGTCTGGACCAGTTAAAGGAACACTCGATCGGAGTTATGTTACACATTCAAATTTAATAATCGAAGGCCATGACGACCTATTTGCCCGAAACGAAGACGACGTTCTCACGAACACTCTGAAGAACTTTTGGGAGACTGAGGCAATTGGCATTAAGGATCTGACTCAACAGGAAACGAAGGAATCTTTCAAAATCGACGTTGCATGGAGCGAAGACCGATAAGAAGTCAATTTACCGTGGAAAGAAAATTGTTTGCCGCTATCCTCCAACAACTATCTGTTGTGCGAATCGCGATTAAGATCCTTACATCACAAGCTGCGCAAAGACCCAGAGTTATTAGCCGAATACGACAACATCATTCAAGACCAGTTATCAAAGGGGATAATCGAGCAAGTACCGAATAAAGAGAAAATTGCTGCGCGACATCATTATTTGCCTCATCATGCAGTAGTAAGAAAGGATCGTGAGACTACGAAGGTACGAATTGTGTACGATGGGTCAGCAAAATCTGGTAACCAAGAGAAGTCACTCAACGATTGCCTTGAAACTGGGCCAAATCACATCCCACATGTTTTCAATATGCTAGCGCGCTTTCGGAAGAATCCAGTCGGTATCACAGCTGACATTGAAAAGGCCTTCCTTATGGTGGGAATCCAAGAGGATCATCGAGACTTTCTTCGATTCTTATGGTTAAGAAACCCAGATTGCGTTAAGCCTGAAATTGTACAATACAGGTTCACACTGCTCGTGTTTGGGTTACGCCCCTCGCCTGCTATTTTGGGAGCGACAATTCTACATCACTTACAACTACACAAACAGAGTGACCCCGAAATCGCTGAATTATTGGAACAATCTCTGTACGTGGACGACCTGTTAACGGGGGAGTCAGACGAAGAAAGAGGTCTCTCTGTTTACAAGAGATGCAAGAAGGTTATGTCCAGTGGAGGATTCAATCTCAGAAAATGGCGATCGAACTCGCGAAAACTACAAATGCAAATTACGAAACTTGAAAGTTCACCAGGATCAGCAAACACACAACAGGAGGTCACTAATGTCAACAAAGAAGATGACGAATCATTCGCGAAATCGAGTGTTGGTTGTGACTCAACGACTTCTGACAACGAAGATGCAGTAGTTAAAATTCTAGGAATGAACTGGAACACTCTCACAGACGAAATTTTCTTCAATTTCTCCGATCTGTGCCCATTTGCACAAGCACTTCCCCTCACCAAGCGATCTGTTCTCAAGGTTACGGCCAAGATCTTCGACCCCATGGGATTTTTGACGCCTCTAACAATAGAAATGAAGATCTTGTTTCAAGAACTTTGTATCAACAAAACAAACTGGGACGAAGAATTACAAGGAACTTTGCTTCACCGATGGAAATCGTTTCTCCAAGATCTGAAGTTCATTGGCGGCTATCGTATTCCTCGATGCTATTTTTCGCGACAACCTGTAACCTCTCAGATACATGGCTTCAGTGATGCTTCAGAACGCGCCTACGCCGCGGTGGTTTATATTCGAAACACGTACAGTGATGGTCGAATCGAAGTTAAATTGGTCGCTTCAAAATCGAGAGTCGCTCCTATCAAGGCACAGACAATTCCTCGATTGGAATTACTAGGAGCATTAATTTTGGCCCGACTTGTTAACAAGTTAAAGTCGATTGGAGCTGAATACACAACCGTTCTCTGGAAGCTTGCGAAAGTAGAAGAATTGCACCCGGGCCGAGATGGAAAGGTGCGAGCAGTTTCAGTTAGAGTTACGAGTACCAATGGTAGTTCAATTCAGCGCTTGCGACGACCCATTCAACACGTTGTTCCTCTTGAGGTGAACTCTTGAACTGAACTGAGAACCTTAAACGTTGCCGTATTTAGATTTATTTCCTCACACTTGTAAATAACGCGAACATTTAGAAACAACGAACTTTGCGATAAAAAATATAGTTTTAGTTTATTTTTCAAAGCGAATATAGTTGACTCACACTAAGGTGATCAACTAGGGGGAGTGTCATAAACAGTCACGCGTATCTGTTATGTAATCAAAGTCGTCACGCTTTTCGTTTTGTTTGTACAAAGAGAGCACATGACAACAATTGTAGGATATCAAATTTAGTGTATATTAGGGGCGTGTGATTTAACTCGAGGGGTTCTTTTTCTGTACGATAACAGAGTGGAATAAATCAGAATTTATACGAAAACGATTACGACTACTTCGTGTTTATAATAGGTGAAGAGTGTAAAAGCGGATGAAGAAACTACTTGCAAACCTAAATGAACTCTTCCCACGATTTCTTTTTGTTTAATACCGACTGTATAATCAGTCATAACTTATGAGTCTTACTCTTTTCGGCACGGTGTTCGATTCGGCATTTTACATCCTTCCCCCCCTACCTAGGTGTGGTAGTGTTGTTCTCGACTTCATGATGAGGTTCAATCGAAGTGTAGTCGTCAGCGATGTTTTGACTGTCCTGTTGGATGCTGCAAGGCAAGAGAAATTCGGAGGTTTCAAAGTCGATCCAGAATCAATTAAACAAGATTTTATAACCACAGACGGCTCGGAAAGCACAACAAAAAGTATGTTTTACAAAGAAATATAATTGTTAAATGTTTACACGTATTCGTCCGAAGATGGACATTTTTAATTGTATTCCGTATCTGTTTAATTAAACAAGTCAATTCTGTGAGTCATATATTTCCAAGTTTTGTTTTCGTCTCTTTTGTTGTTTCTATTAAATTAAACAAAATCTTACTTTTAAAAATTATTATAGAGAGAGTAGCACCTTGCTTTTCCTTAGTACCCAGCCAATTCGAGTTAACGGTTTTCGTTCTAGAGCATAAGCTATGTAGTGAGAGCAGTATACTGACCACGATCACTGTAAATGTTGTTTGAATGTTACCTGATCAAGCTTTGTAAAATGAATCATTTTAGGTCCTGAGGAATGTAACTGCCCATCTAACAACGTCTCGTTAGCCATAAATGGGGTTCTTGCCTTCATAATCGTTCTTCTAATTATTTACATAATCTGGCTACATAAGAAAGGTAGGTAAAAAATTCATAATCTATAATAGAGGGTTTGGCTGCAAGATTCAGTATTAAGAAAAAGGAAATCTTGACCCACTTTCACATCATTTGCCTTTTTTTCCTTTCGTTCTTTTCCAGGCGCTGTAGGGAAGCAGAGGTAAGAATTTGCTGCCACTTGGATTGTGTCGATGTAATGTAACAGATATGGTATCATCTTATAACAAACTTCCATTTAAAACTAATGAGATTCTCAGCTCGTCATAAATATTTGTATGCTTTCTCAATTGTAGGACTTATGAGGATGAAAGAGGTGTTTCCTACGTAAGTTACAGCTAAGACATTGAGGTCATGTTAGTGTGGCCAGTAATTATGTAATCTCACTTTACCTCTACTCTCTAGAAGGAAATAAACGCTTGCAACAAATAGGAAGGAAAAAAGGTGTAGTTCTACCAAAAAGGCATAATGCATTAATGACAGGTACAATAAAATATGGGAAGAAGTTTGACTCGATAGGATCTTTGTCCTGGGATCATGTCCTTTACCAAGCTGCTCCATCGATTTTCCTTCGGTTGTCCCTGGTTCAACTGCGTGGTTTCACTTCATAGATCGCAAACTGGTCTGCACCCGGTTGATATTTGTTTTGTAAATGATTTTTTTTCACGCCGTTTTGGCCGTCTGTTTATCTTGATGCCTTATTTTCAAAGCGTTAGTCCAGGAGCTTAGTACAGCAAGAGTTTTTTTTTCGTGTGTGCATTTGTCAAACAATTGCACTACCAATCGACGATCTTCATGTTGCAGTTTGTAGCTGCAACGAATATGCTATGAACCTCGATCACTGCATTGGACATGATAGTTTCAATGGCAGAGAACAAAGCGTTAGTAATAATAAATATTAGTAATATTTAAGGACAAGAGATTATAAACTATTATTAATCTCTTGTTATGAAATAATATAAACGCTTGTCTGATGAAAACGGGTAAACTGATTTTTATGAAAATGTAGGAAATTTTATTGGGATTAATAACAGATTTGTATATGAATACCTTAACGGTATGTTGGTTTAATAGAATGAAACAGGATTAGAAGATAGCGAACCAAGTCTACCCGATTCAGCAAAACTCACCCAGCCTCCTGCGGAATATATGGATCTCATAGAAGTCAACAAACATGATAGAAAAGCACAAAGAACAGCTCCAGGTGCTGATTACATGCCCCTTCATCCGTTAACACGCTGCTGGGAAGTTCCAAGACATAACGTGACCATAGAAAAAATTATTGGTAAAGGTGCTTTTGGTCAGGTTGCCAAGGGAACAGCAGTAGGACTTCGAGGGAGTCCTGAAACGACCACAGTGGCTATTAAGATGCTTAAAAGTGAGTTCTTGAACTGTAAATTGAATGACAGTCTTGGCCTACAGTCATATACTGTTACCGGGTTACGTAACTTTTGGCTATTCGTCATTCGATAACTTACGTCGCTATTCGACATTTTGCATATTATTCCCGTTAACCAAATTTTACTCCTTGTTTTTAACGCTCCAGCAAACGCTACTGAATCGGACAAGAGAGATTTGATGAAAGAACTTGACACAATGAAGCAGCTGAAACCACATCCTTATGTCATTAAACTTCTGGGATGCGTTACAGAATCTGGTAAGCTTTGATTATGAGGTCCAATTTTGCTGTACACATTTTTCATCTGATTTACTCTGTAACGCTTTCTCGTCATTGATAATTTGCTTCAATGGAAGATTCACTGCTTCACAATCGCGCACAACAAACAACCATCGCATATGGTAATTTTATCCTTTTTTAGCTAACAGCGACGCTCTTGGATTTGCTGATAGACGAAGACCAAATATTTGCCATTGTACAAGCCATTCTGTTGTATGAGCAGAATCGTTTTTCTAAGGGAATATTTGGCCTGTATCTTCTTATGAGACCGTTACAAAGTTTTTCTGCTTTTCTTCGCAAAACTACATCTTGTTTTCGTGCGATTTCTTCAAAAGTATTGAACCTGACTGTGCTATTTATTTATTTTACTTATTACTAATTTTTTAAGAGGGAGAAATATATAAATGAAACTGTTTAATTTCTTCAGAACAGCCGCTGGTTTTGATTGAATATGTGCCTTTTGGGGATCTGCTGGGTTACCTGAGAAAGAGCCGTGGATTAAAAGACACTTACTTCAAAGACCCGGATATCAAACCACAAACAAATCTGACGTCACAGCAGCTGATGAAGTTTGCTTGGCAAATTGCTGATGGAATGAGTTATTTGTCCTCAAAATCTGTAAGTTAATTACAAAGGCACCAAAGAAGAACAATTTTAAAACCTTCTTGTAAGGTGTATCGTCATGTGAAGCTATGTCTTGCATAGAATAATATGTCTTCACAAGATCACGCCCGGGATATGCAAACGTATTCTTACCGTCTCGTTGAGGCTGTTTCCGAGAACCCTACCAGTTTTGACGTCATCACCAAAGTTATATTTCAGTGTGCGAATGGCGATATTTGTGCATCGCTGCAAGTGCACCTCATCGAAATTAAATATCTGGGTTTTTCTCGTGTAGGCAAAGGCAGAGATGTGAATGAATAGGATCTTTTATTCAGCCTAAACTGAGTGTACAACGAATATCCATTTTAGTGACAAGAAAGATCAAAGTGCTCTGTGAGCAAACTCGTGAATTGACACATGATTTTTTAGACTATGTTTAATGTTATCTGGTTTAGGGAATTTTGTGGTTGATTGTCATATCTAGAGTACGAACAGTAGTTCAGTGTTCGCTAATGTAGCAAAGAAACAAGGTAACGTTGGGATAAGAAGGCATTACAATTGAAATGATCATGCTATTACATTTGACAAGGTGGATGATGTCATGTGTTTTAAACGTCTATCATTTTTGTTTCTGGTTCGAAAGAAAAGGTTGGAAGTAAATGTGGGTGAAAAATTAAATTTACTGTCTTTCGTTGTAAATATAAGGAATTCAAGGCAATACTGTCTTAATGAAAACATTAACGATTCCCTTTTTATCAAATGAGACAAACGGGAACGAGTTTTGAGTGATATAACTAAGCCAAGCCTGCCACCGTCATTTTGGATCTCCGCCTGGGTAGATTTAAGTCACGTGCTAGGCAACGTATAATCAATAACAAGATAGAATTTCATTTCAGGCCTATTTATCAATTTTGTGGTGTGTAACTTTCGCATTGTATGTATGTTGAATCTTCAAATTGTCTTGAAACTTATAAGAAAATTGTTCTTTAAAAATTCACTGAAAATCGGTAGCTAAAATTGTTTGTTTAGTTGTTATTTGATTTTCGTGTTAACTTGTTATTTAGGTAGTCGCCGGCATCTTCTGTTGCTTCACACAGGAAAAACACACGCGACGAAACGATCAATTTTGTCCTCAATCTCACGCCATAACAGAAGAAGCTTTTGAACATCTGTAAACTCCGAGCGCTTCGCAGTAAGGGATATTTTCAATGAATCTTCGTATTGTGTTCAAGTTCAAGGATTGTAAATTACAATTTTATGAAAAACGAAGGTTGTTCTGTTATTTCAGTGCGAATCCTTGCATGCCTGCCAGTCGCTGGCGCCGCTTATTGAAACTAAAACGAAAAAAAAAAACTCTTTTAAGATTATCATTGGCTTCTTTTTCACCCCACCACTATTCTTAGCAGCAAAGGTCGCCATTTCGTCTGTTTATTGCTCGCCAAAAACTATCAAATGCACTCAAAAGCCTAAAATCTAAAAAAAGTTTACAGGAATCGACCAATCGAGCGAGCGAGCGAGCGAGCGAGCGAGCGAGCGAGCGAGCGAATGTCATTCCCCACATCATATCTATAACTCGCTCTTGCGCATGCGCGCAATTCACGAGTTAAAAAGGAATTAAAACTTGAAATTCAAAAATTCGTCTTTGGTTGCTAAACTGCTACATTACAGAATCCTATTTCGAATAAAATCTTAAGATAAGCTTTCTATGAAATAATTAGGTATTGCAGAAATGAAGTAGTTTGCTTCCCTTTGGAAGATGGAGCAGTAACTATAGTAATTTTAATTTTCTGCCATCTGGAAGAAAGAGAAATACACACACCATATTATTTCTATTTTCCTATCTGAATCATTTCATTTCAGTTCTTTTTCTTCTGAAATCGCTAATTTTTGCTCTCGTATCAATGCTTTCTTAGATCATTCACCGAGACCTTGCGGCTCGTAATGTGTTGGTTGGACAAAAGGAAACTTGTAAAGTGACAGACTTCGGAATGGCCAGAGATGTGCAGCAGGAAAATATTTATGAACGAAAGAAAGAGGGGAGGTGGGGGCGGTACTACATATCGTTCAGTTTAATTATCTTTCACAATCATTGTTGTGATAAAGCTGATATACTCCTGATTTCGATGACAAAATCCTTGGATGGGACCATAATGAAAACAGCCATTTGTATACGAGTATAATTTTAAATATCACTGTCTTTGACCGGTCGCTTCCTATAATTTTTTAGCTGTTTCAAAAAGTGATATTTGAAATCTTTAGGGCCGTCTTCCAGTGAAGTGGACAGCTTATGAGGCCTTGATGTATGGTAAATATACCACCAAAAGTGATGTGTAAGTATACCCGATTATTACCCGTAGCAATTTTCCAACAAGTTTTACCAATAGAATAAGAGAGAGGGTAAGTTTTGGGCTCGGTAATGAAATAGAGAAAGATGTTTTTCATCCTCTCACGAGCGTTGGACAATGAAAATATTCTTCACTCCCCATGAGGAATCGAATCTCAGACCATCGGATTCCGCGCTCCGATGCTCATACCACTGAGCCACAGAGACTCTACGACTCTACTCTCTTGCATACTGCAAGGATCAGCAATGTCGATAGAGTCATGTTTGTAAATAAAAATAAGAGAGAGAATCGGAGCGCGGAATCCGAAGGTCTGAGGTTCAATTCCTCGTGGGGACTCAAAATTTTTCCTTCGTCCCACAATCGTGACAAGACGAAAAACATCTTTCTCTAAGTTTTATCAGTTTCAATCAGGACATGAATTCTATGCTTGGTCAAAGAATACATATATTTTAGTTGTCGTATAAAATGTTTATGTCTTCAGTCACCCAATATATATTTGTTTGATTTGTCTTTCTGCAGATGGAGTTATGGAGTTTTGCTGTACGAGATTTTTACCATAGGTAACATCGAATGGAAATTTATAAGGCCCTGTATATGTTTTTTGCTATATACCATGTTCAATTAAGCAATGTAAGGTGTTCACTTAGACAAACGTAAAAAGCTTCAAACCACATCAAATGACATGGGTGGTGTTTCAGTGAAGGTCGTTTTTTCGTCACATTTATATTTCGATGGTCTTATGGCTCTTCCAGGTGGTTCACCTTACCCACGAATGGATGGAAGAAAAATTGCAAACTTACTTCAGGAAGGATACAGGATGCCTAAACCACAACACGTTGATGAGGAATTGTAAGTGTTTTTTCAATTCGTTCTCTCTCATCCTACAAGGAAACGTTCTTTAAATCTCTAATAGATAATTTGAACAATACCAGGTATCAGATTATGATGAAATGCTGGAAGAATGACCAAGATGCAAGACCAACTTTTACTGAATTGAAAAATCAGCTTAAGGACATGGAAACCCTACACAAGGTGAGAATTTTCTTCAACATGAAAGTTTCTTTTCACGTTAGACCGACTAACTTAGGCTTAGCTAATTAGGGTTTTAAACTTAATAGCGTTTAGCTTAGATAGCGTACTTTTTACGAAGTTGGGATTGCATCTTCTTGTTATGTCACTGAAGCTAGCACTCCACGAAAAACAAGGAGGAAGCGAACTAGAATGTCCTTGCGACAATTGACTCATTATGGTTATTTAAAATATGGTAGGATTATTGCAAAATTTTATTGAGATGCACAAAGAGCAGCAAACGACACCATAAAATACTTTCTTGAATTTGTTTTGATGTGAAAAGCTGACCACTTGTGAGGATAAACGCTTATAACGTAAGAGGAACACTTTTTTAATGATGCCAATTATTATATTATTCTTTTCTGCAGAAGCTGATCAACATGACAATGTACGACAAGCAGTTGTATGCAAACGTCGAGGATTTAATGGTGTAGTTAGATAGATTTCCGCGGTATATGACCGGCTAACAGTTTGAACACTTTGCCACAACAAGTTTCAGGGCTGAATCATCTTTTCCTCACACGCTTACTTGGTAGAAAAAGCCATTTTGTGTTAAGCAATTAGGCTGGAACGTTATAACTCAATTGATTTTATATTCTTAAACGCTGTAACGCTTTTATCAGTTTACCGATAAAGTATACTCTCATTTTCTCTTTTACATGTTTAGCACTTACACGCATGCTCGACACAAGCGTTGGAGTTCAGTTTATTTTCTGACTCAATTCTGAAAGGCAGGATAGTGGGGAAAATATCCAATTAACTAGATTGATGAGATATCGTTCTGTGTGCCGTAGTTGTCTGCAGTTTTAGTAAATCGCTAAAAAATTGTTTTGCCGTAAAACCCGCTTGGTTTTAGGAAAGCTATCCGGCACATAAACTGCTTTCCCTAAGACCGCATCTACCTGCGATACTAACTCGAAATACTTTTATACTGAAAGTGTTATTAATTAAAAATTAGCCTTATCCTAATAAAAATTATAATTGGCACATTACTTGTGCAATCGTCTTAGCTTTGAGAGATGAATTTGCTGAAAATTGTATATAAAATTTTGAAGATTTTTGCCCAGGGGGAAATGACTTTTTCCTAACTTTTCTACGGGAAACGAAATGTAGAGAAATTGTGAAATACATGGTATGGTAAGACCACAAGAAGCTAAATTTTAAGATCTGATTTATGCAGGTAAATAACTTTATCTCCCAGGATTTGTCGCCACAATCAGGAGCATGTCGCGAAAGTGTGATAATATTTTAACACCTACCATTAAAATGCACAGGTTTTACCCCTGGAGATGTTTACTAAATCATTAGTGCTCTCTCGAGTAGCCTGGAGAGGATAAAAAAATAAAATAATAAGAACGGGTGCTGACCATACAATTTTGGAACAGTCAACAAAAGTTAGTGCTCTGGGAATTATTGGTAGTTATCGTCACGTAAACTGCGCTTTGTCGTGAAAGAGGAAATAAATGGATTTGTAACGGGACATACAGTGTACATTGCTATTACTGGCGTCCAGAGTATTGTCTTTGAAAAAACCACTTACCTTTTCACGAACAATTCCTGCAAATGCAAAGTGTAATTATAGTAAATGATGCGATGATAGCAGCTGAGTGAAAAAAACCGGGGGAGGGGTGGGTCGGGTCGCGTACTGTTTTGTTGGTACTATCGCGCAGTTCATTTATTTCGTTCTGTTTTACTAGATGAACGCCTGGAACCGGTTAATGAATCGAAGTCCCCGCATTTTTTTTAATTAAGTGGTCTTGCTTAAAAAATGGACGTAAGCCGTAATCAAACAACCTTTTTCTTTCGTATAATTGCTGTATGTACTTATTATAATATGTGTACTATATTTAACAGTTGTTCCATGAGCCCACACCTGATATGGGTTGGCTATACCAATCTCGTATCCAACAAGTCAGAAACAGGAACCTATGGAATAATTGACCGTACGACTTGACCACTGAGCTTGTACAGATGAAATGTTACCTATAAATTCCTGTCGGTTCATTCTGTCGATTGAATTTAAAAAATTGACCCCATCAGAAAACCTGGGTAGCCAAAGAAAGCAAAAGGGAGAAGTGTTTAAAAAATATGCGGATCAAGAATTTGATCAAACCCAAACCCAAACCTAGAGGCTTCACAAAGCAGAAAAAAATTGTTTAGGCTAATATGTAGTTCAGATTAACGCTCGAATAAAATATGATTTGTGAAAAGCTTCTTAATAGACACTCTGGTCTTTTTGCTTTATCGTTATGTAAATGAAATGGGTGTATTGAAGAAAACATTCAAGGAAAGATGACACCCGAGCCATGGGGTAAAAAATGCGGGGTAGAAAAGTTAATTGCTTTTAATAAAGCAAAATGGGACCCAGCTACGCCAATTGTTTAGTAGATTTTATCGAACACCAATTTCTCAGTCAATGCAAAGGCCCCAAACCTGAAATATACGGTCGCTACATCGACGACTGTATCAGCGCCACCTCCTCTACCAGAGATGAGCTGACTCAATTAATAACCGTTATCAATTCATTTCGCCTGGCTTTGAAATATACCTGGGAAATTTTCGACACTTCTTTGGCTTTTCTAGACATCAAAATTTTAATTAAAGTCAGAAACAAGAGCGAATGGAATTATTGAGTTATTAAATTTTTTCACTTTTTGGTAATCCGTTTTAACTCTCAATTTTTCTTCAAATTAAAGCCACCTGAAGTCAATATCATATCTGATCGTCAAAACGGCCAAAACTTGAATCACATAAGAAACGGTTAAGTTACGTTCGAAGCTGAATGAAAATTCAAGGCAAGCAATTTATTCAGCTGTACACAATAGGCAGGCAAAAAATTTTGTGAACAGGTTGATTGAGTGTCTTGTTTAACTGGAACGAAGCAAAGCTTGTGATTGAGGATAGCTTTCGTTTCAATATCCTGACCTCAATTTCTCGCTTCGAGTGTACGAGTTAAGGGTTATATTCCTACTGAGACAAACATTTGGTTAAACCAGTAAAGAGAGTTATACCCTAATGTTCAAATGTTTTGCTGCGTGGTAGCGAACGGAGAAACCAGTATTATGGCTACTCAAACAGATCCGCAGTCGAAGTTGAGTTTTTGTAATGAAAGATCCTGTTAAAACGTTGATATTTCAACATTATTCCGTAATTCCTATGATGAAATTTTTAAGATAACCGGCTGTTCTTTTTGTTGCGGCAACGTTATACCTTTTCTTGACCATAAAGCGTTGATATGAAGCTAGTGAAAACGCTGTAAATAAAACTTCAAATATAAGTACCATTCAATGAGGTTACATTGAACTTTTTTAATTTTACTTTTTGTTACCGATATGACGTTGACTATCATTTGCTTTAATTAATTTCCAATGTACCAAAAGAAGTGATTGCTTCCAGCCAAAAGTAGATTCAGCTGAGCGACACTTAGATAAATCATTTCCATATCAGGTTGTATATCAGATAATAACCAAAATTCAGAGAACCAATAAGAACACTAGAAATATCCAATATCAGGATTTTGAAATTTAATGGAAATAGATGGTAAGTGAGTGCGTACGACTCTTATTCAGTTGGGACTCAAACCTACCACCTTCCGTTCAGTACTTCGGATACTCTAATGCTTAGATACAGTAGACTTGTGGCAAGCTAGCTCGATTAACTATGTCCTCGGAGATAGACTTCCTGCATATTGCGAGCATATGATTATTGATTTGTGATTCTTACTCGCAATGCTGCATTCATTAGATTTCTTACTCATTTTGCTACTGCTAGGTATTTTTGATCCAACTGAGCTTACCAATGGAATTCGTCAGCTGCACAAGACTCGCGAGGAATGGCTCTTACCGTCTCCATGGTGTGAACAGTATCAGTTTTTTCTTGGCTATATTTTTACAAGTCTTAAAGTGGTCAGAAGAAAGAAAACGAGAGGAGAAATCAAAAAACGTATTTGTTGACATGTGGTCAATACTAGACCCGTATGAAGAGTGTTCAGCGGCGAGAACAGTGTTGATTGAAGGGGAACTTGGTATGAGAAAAAACACCTACTGTAAAAAGTACGCTTACGACTGGGCCACCAAAAAGCAAGCACCTCAGGGCTGCGGCTCAACAGCGTTCAAAGCAGTATTGTTGCTGAAATGTCGAGAAATGCATTCTGATGTTTGGGGAGCCATTGATGAGCAGTTTCTGCTCCGAGACTGACATCGATGAAGAAGTCAAACAACAATATCGTTTTATTGATATTGGATGGATTGGATGAGTTACCATCCAGTAAATTGTCGATTTTTTTAAAAATTAATTGAAGGAAGAGTACTCCCCAGATGCCACATAGTTGCAACAGCAAGACACAAAGCTGGAAAAGAGGTGAAAAAATGCTGTGACACGCTGCTTCAGATCGAAGGATTCACTCAAAAGCATGTGAAAGGATTTGTCACCAAGTACTTTAAAGAGAGGCACGATTTAGCTCAACTGCACTTGGATATGGTTGAATGTGTCTTGAGAAGATATAGAAAAATAAGAGACTATCAGAAACGGAAGAAGACCTGACAGATCTTTAGAAACCGCAATTGAATCGCTTCGGGTTGGTAGCGTTGCATGGTTTACTTAACGACAAATTGGATTTGAATGAAAGTGAATTGGGAAACCGTGCAAAAGACTTGACTGAATTTGGATTTCTTGCATAAAAGTTTTCAAGAATTCTTTGCAGCATTCTTCATTTGTGCTCAGATTCAAAGCAAGGAAATTAGACCTGACGAACTAGTTTCCGATCCAAGGTATTTTGTTAAACTGGAAGAGATACTTTTTTTTTGCGGAATTTTAGCCATAAAATGCAATGAACAAGTCGTGGCTCTTGTAATGAGTTTAACAAATGAAGTCAACGAAAATGAAAGCAGCAGTTTAAAAGTTGTATTGGAGGCTATTAACGAATGTGAGAGACAAAAGAGTGATTTTCACTCACGGTTTGACCAATTTGAATTTGTATTACAATGGTATTGGTGGTGCCGGTGCTACATCGATTGCTGAGGCCAAAGGTCAAAGTCAACAATTCATTTATTCCAAACTGAGCTCGAAATCATGTGATTAACTCTACAAATTCAAATTGGTTAGCGTCTAGTTGACTTTGATGGCCTCAGCAATAGATGTAGCTCCAAACCCCTGAAGAGTGAAGCGATTCACGAAACAGGCTTGTCGGGAAATGTAGTTACGTCCTTTTTTCCTCTCATAATATTTATTCTGCTCTGCTTCAACGTATTGAGCACTGTTCCACGCGAAAATCGACTTGCAGACTTCCTATATATAACTGCAGACAGTACTGTTTCGGCCTTCTGGGCCTCATCAGTGCAGTGCTGATGCTAGGATGGAGGTAAGGCTATATAGCCACCCCAAGTGATCTCACACGTGTGGTATCATCTAAGCCATGCCAGAGTGCTCAAACTAGATAAACTAGTGAGCATGCATAATGCTAGCAGCAATGACTCATCCTAGTAGAGTGCTCAATTTGGACATGAAAGCAAAGTATATATATATATATATATATGCGTGTGTGTGTGTGTGGGGGTAGAGTCTACCTTGGCATAAAGTGCTCAGTGCTGTGGTAGCAGAGCTGAGTATATATAAGTGAAAGAATCAAAGAGGATGCATCGATTCTCTGTTACTCTGAGTTTCGCTCCTAAGCGCTCGTCAGACAGAACTTTATTCAATGAAGAACATACCTCCTTATATACAAATTAGAT